CTAGAATCCACCAGAATGACTACTAGGCTGACTTAATTATTAAGTTGGTTCGACAGATTTGGTTAATTTAGTTGACCCAATTGTGAAAAAACTCGCGGCACTCAACTTGTTCTCCTGTATTGGTTGATTCCATATGAGCGGCAAAGTTGGGCGGGTAGAATCGATCTAATTGTGATTAAACTCACGGTGTGAAGTGCGACATTCGTAGCTCAAGTAGATAGAGCATTGGCTTGCGTAAAAGGCCTCCTTGCGGGTTCGAATCCCGCCGAATGCCGCGAGTTTCTTCACAATTGGGTCAACCGAATTCAAATTGCTAGTATCACCACCATAACTAATATTGCACTGTTCCTGCTGCACTGCATCGTCATGCTGTTTTCCTTTAGTACCGTGCTTGTAGTCAACCTGTTTAGGCAGATGATTTTCTGTAAATGTTAAGCTAGATTTACGTACTGTAGACAGTCAAAGATAGCCCGGAAAAACAGTAAATACCTCTTTCTTACGAACTAAATGCACGGTTGATCTTCAGTTATTATTACCTACACGTTTTTTAACCGTTCATTTTACTATAATCCCGATATAGGTTACGACCACACAATAGGTTCAAATTTCCAACATGCACGTACAGGCCATGGTTTTGTATGCTAATTACTGACCTTAGCAAGCATAATTACTAGAGTTAGCACTCCTGACATTGGCATACTACTTCAAGCAACAGTATCCTAGTTCTCGTAGTCTACACTTTAGGAAAAACTGACACAGATTTCGTGAGTAGAGGTAGGAGGAGGTAAAAACCACGTCAAACACTAATGTACTCCGTGCCTCAAACATTTATTTTCTCGGAATAGCATAAATCCAGGTCCCAAATCCTAGTTGGGGTCCAAGAGGAATATGAACCCTGACCAGTTATTAGCGTCAGTAATAGTACCAGCACTAATATCATTCAGCTACAGTGCTAGTAAGCAGCAGTATAAAATAGTAGTAACAGTACCAGCCTTGGTTTCCTTGAGTCTGGCTTGACACCTACTGAAGGTGAGTGAGCGTAAGTAGTGCGGTAGTACCAGCGCACAAGCCTACTGCCACTTATGACTAAGTAGGCGGTTTTCTTGCTTGCATTGGAGAAAGCGGCCTACGTCTGATTCGTGCTCGGTCATCTCGACTTTGTCTTATCAACGGTTCAAGTGAGGAGAGGGTTTAGAGTGTGGATGGTGGCTGCTCGTTTGCTTTCACTGTACCTGACTATAGCCATAATCCCTGCTTTTAGGCATATAGTGGACATCGTCGAAGTCGATGGTAGAACAATCATCGCTTCAACAGTGTCTGGTCATCCACAGTCAATTTTTTTTCGCGGGAAACACGCCCTCATCATGACGGAAAACAGAAGACAGTTAGCTTTGAGCCTTCATTTCATTAGTGCATGGAGGCGATTGCAAATACAGGTGGTGTCTGTGCATTGAGCTTGTCAATGTAGCGGGAGTTCCGCGAGAGTATAAAAGGTACTCGTAGTGTTGGCGCTCCGGCCTCTTCACCAGTCATGGTGCGAATTGTACACCGCACTACTGCCTCATACGAGACAATGACGTTTCGACAGACCTGCGAGCCCACCAGGACGTTGACTTCCTTCTCCAGGGGCGCTGTGGGCTCTGGTTCCGCTTGGGGCGCCGCAGGCGCTGCGGGTGGCGGGGAGC